CGTAGGTCAATGGATATATCACGCGTAGGTCAATGGATATTATATTACGCGTAGGTCAATGGATAATATATTACGCATGGGTAATGGGTTTTAGGGTTTGTACCGCAAGTTTAGGGTTTAGGGTACGGTGAACCGTGAATATTTGGTCGAGTAATGCCCCAGATGACTGAAGTGAAACCAGACCAGATTGTATATGGTAGCGTAGTAGCTATATACGCCATACTGGTGAGTGTGAGCTAGCTATATACACAATGCAAGTAAGTGTATGCATATGAATTCCCTCTCATGTGTTGGGGAACAGAACAATTAAACCCCAAATATGTTGAGGCAGGAAAAAGTCAAACCCTAAATGTGTTAGTGTAACCTTAAAGTTAAACGAAACTCTTCGCTGCAGCTTGGAGTGGCGGTATGGTGACTGTGTAGTTTGAGGTACAAACAGTTCCTGCACTGTTGCATGACCAGTGACTCACCTCGAATCGGGAGGTCGCTCGAACGCCTCGCCAGTCCTCAATGACGCAAGCAGACCGTCCATTACACCCACCTCGGCTGTGTAGTGGGTTTTAGGGTTTAAGGGCTTGGGCTTTAGTATATATGGTGCTAGGGTTTAGAAATTACTCATAGATCACTAGCAAGCTGTGCAGTGACGGTGACAATTGAGAACTCAATAGCCATCCACAGGTATACGCGTCCAAGGAATCAATAGCTGTAGAACAATTAGTCATAAACACGAATACGGATAACAACCCAATGATCTAGGCTATACAACGACGTGCTCTATACAGAACAATCTCTATACATAGACACTCCCCCATAAATCAATAGCTGCAGAAGAACTAATCATATACACCACTACGGATGAAAACCCAATGATCTAAACCCTACCCACTACAGGCCATACAAAGATGTGCTCTACACAGAACAATCTCTATGCATACACATTCCCCCATAAACCAATAGCTGCAGAAGAACTAATCATATACACCGCTACTGATGACAACCCAATGTTCTAAACCCTAACCATTGCAGGCTATACAAACATGTGCTCTACACAGAACAATCTCTATACGTACAAACTCCCCCATAAAGCAATAGCTGCAGAACGATTAATCGTAGACACCATTACGGATGACATCCCAATAATCTAAACCCTAACCACTGCAGACTATACAACGACAACGATGTGCGCTATACATACGCACTAGTGGTGCACCCCTATGCATGCACACACGCTTTTAATATCGAAAGAGAAATATAGGGTTTAGAGGTTTAGGGTTTTAGGATGGGGTGAACTCAGCTCTGCGAGATATAATATCGGCGATGGTTCTGTGCAATTGAGATGACTCAGCTTTGCATATTATACATTTCTATAGGAGGCTGCGTGCCTTGTACGTCGAGATGAAACTCGAATACAATATACATAAACATATATACATATAAAGCCTACTTTATGTATTATATACACACATAAGATCAGTATACATAATATTCACATAGAAACAAAGAACAATATACATGAACATTCATATAGAAACAAAGAACAATATAGATAATCGTATATACATATAACCTCTATTGTACATATTATACACACACAAAGATTTGAGCCGGATATCTATCACGAGTGCTGCCTTATCATTGCCAATGCCATCGTTTATCGCGAGCTAGCAGTGGTTAGGCTACACACACCCACACCCACACCCACACCCACACTCTCACACTCAAGGTATACTATGTCCCAATCCCTTTCCTTCCCCAACACACACTTATATATATATATATAAATATTTATATATATATCGTATTCTATATCTTATACACCGAGATAAAACTGGTGTAACCCTAAAAAAAAACACCTACCGTTGGCGCCCTTGGAAGCCTTTTTCTTATTGGCTGCCAGTTCTTTCTTGCGTGCGGCTGCTTCTGCTCTGGCGAGTTCGCGTTTCTGTTTCTCTGCTTCGCGTTCGTTATCGTCTCGCGCTTTCTGTGGCACGAAATACCAAAGTGCTGTTTTAATAT